CCTCCAGATGTTCCTGAACTGCAAATCCCAACATTCCTCACTGTATGGGCTAGGCCCAGCTCTCCTCACACTATTGGCTATGTGGGCTAGACCCAAATCTTGTCACTATTAGCTGTGTGGGCTAGGAGTTGCAGTTCAGCAACATCTGGAGGGCCGCATTTTGCCCACCACTGATAGCAGTATTCAAAAGATGATACAGTTTGAGGAGTTCATTAAAGATTTTTCAGATGCCAAGTGTAGAAAGAAAGACTTTTTGTAGATATTCTAGTATGATGTACATAGCTGTAAGTTAGTAAAACCTACAGCACTTAGCTTAGATACACTTAAAACGTTTGCATTGATATGTTCAGAGTTTAATTTGATTGTGCAAATTGTTGTGTTAGCCATTGTTATTCATGGAAACTAAGGAGTACATAGCAGCAAAGCTATGCTCTTTGTAATTTGTCTTACCAAATCATCCACTTGGAGTTTTGCTGGTATGTATTTAAATGCATACATGAATTTAATTCAGATATATAATTAGTGTAACCTTTCTATGTACATACAGTATAAGTTCCAATGGCATGCAACAAATGGACTTGGATGTGTAAATCTGGTGATTTGCCATGTATTTTCATTCCTGTGTATGAGAGCCCTCCTGAACATGAAGTGTCCTGAGGGAATTTTATTCTCTCTCTTATATTTTTGCCTGACATAACACTGGAGATTCTTGGAAGCTTTATGAGAATCTTCAAGATTGCTATAATTAGTTTACTTGAATGCTAGCTATCACCCCTCTACCATTTTATATACACAAAGCTAAACCCTGTTTTTGGAAATATGTAGTATCAGGATTCTAAAAATGATTCCAGTATTTCCAAGTTGTGAGGATTATGTTTTAAGGTTACAGCAAGCAAAATTGCATGGGAAAGAGGGAACCCCATGATTATAAGTTTTTCCAAGTAATCATTTAAATTGTGATTTAAATCAAATCCTCCATGTGTATTTGACTATCAAATAGGCAGGAGATAGGGTTTTGCTTGTTTCTAAAAGACCTGAGGGGAGCTTTCAATAACAGGACATTTTGGAAGTCACTAATTTATAGGATCACTGTAAGTCAGGAGTCTCAAACTTGCGGCCCGCGGGCCAATTGTGGCCCGCGGGATGATAGTTTGTGGGCCCCGCCTTCATCATAGGCATCCTTCAGTCTCGAGAGACTATGGTAACATGCTCTGAATCGAGGAGTGTTCTCTCCAGAGCATGAAGCCTGAGTAAAGTTATATGGAGGATAGGCTGTTACCCAAGCAGCAGATCCCCCCTCTCCACGTTGCTGAAATAGTCCAATGGAAAGGCAAAAGCCAATACAACTGGTTTCAGCGACGTCGCAGGAGTTGGCAGAATGACACAAACTGCCTTCGGGACTCCAGCTCCAGATTTTGCGTCTAGGTTAACTCCTGAAGCCTTTTCCATGAGTGGATATAGCCACAAGGCAGTGGAGGTTTGAAATCGGAGTTTTAGGGTTACAATTAGGGTTAAGGCTTGGGTTAGAGTTACTGTTAGGGTTAGGGTTAGCGTTAAGGCTAGGGTTAGGGTTAGGATTAGGTTTAGGGTTTGATGGCTGCGGAATTTTAGCTGTTGTGGTCAAAGTAGTACATTTTCAAAACTTTGGTTAATGTTAGTGCGGCCCACGAGTTTGATACAGTGTTGTGTGCGGAGCTGAATGAACCTCCCAATCACTGTGGGGTATATGGCTCTTGTGGGTGGGGCATCGGCTGGGCTTGATGCAAGCAGAGATACAGTGGTGCCTCGCTTAACGAGCGCACCGTACAACGACTAATGCGATCGCTCAACGACTTTTAGATAGGGCGAAACTCGCTTTGCGAAGATCGGTAAGCGTTTCGCTTACCGATCTTCGCAAAACAAAGCCCTGACAATCAGCTGTTTGGCGGACAAAATGACCGGCGGAAGCCCCAAAATGGCCGCGCACAGCGTTTTCGCGCCCTCCCCTCACTTAACGAGAGCGCGAAAATGGCTGCCGGCCATAGGAAACTTCGCTGAACAGTGAGTAAAGGAACGATGTTTAATGCATTCCAATGGCTTTCCCTGTCCCATTCAGCGATGTTTCGCTATAGCGAAGGTTAATTGGAATGGATTAACCTCGCTATGCGAGGCACCACTGTACATTTCTCAATGAATGAAAGTTACAGCAGCGTTGCCATGGAGTGTTTTCTTCCATGCCTGGCTGGCTGCCTTGTTTCTATTGAGCACACGTGGACATTCGTCCCAGCACGCTGCGTGCACAACACTTTTTAAAAAGTTTTTTAAGTTGCTGCCCAGTGGGACATTATACATACATACATATATACACTTAGAGATTTAATATTAGGTCTCTCTCTCTCTCTCTCTCTGAGAAAATTAATCGAAGTGATGTGTACACAGCAGGATAAAAGAAAAGTAAGGAACTCAATGCAGCCTAATGTAGTCTGCAGTCACATAGCGATGCCTGTCCATTGGCAATAACAGTCCTCAGTAACCCAGACCAATTATAGGGTCACACCATTATTTGTGGGTCATTGTTTTTTATTTGCATAGCGCTATTTGCATTGCCTTGCACAATGAACATTACATATATTTCTATATGATGTAAAAGTAGTCAAAACAAATGACATCAACAGTAGCATGGTGTCATTTCCACTTCTTTTTCCTGTAATAGCACGGCAGATAACAGTCCATGAGCAGACGCCTTTTTTGCGCTCGCTATCCTGGTACTTTCTACCAACTACAAATGCCATGGTGTTCATGTCATCATGAAAGACATGAATATCGGGCATAAAAACAAAGGAGACTGCTACCGGGCTTTTATCCACCGACCGCCATGCTGCGGTTAGAAGAAAAAGAAGTGGAAATGACATTCTCCATGCATTGAGACATTCGCCGTGTGTCAGCTAAACGCTTGATTGAAACTTCAATGCGACAGTGACACCAAGAGGAATTATATACTGTATATTACACAGCCCCAAACATGTCTTTTTCAAAGCCCGCAGTGAAGAGAAAGGTTGATGATGAGCACAGACAATTTCAGGAAAAGTGGGAAATGCAATATTTCTTTGTTGAGTACGGGGGCACCCCGACGTGTCTTATTTGCACAGAGAAAGTTGCAGTGCACAAGGAATACGAATTGAAACATTACACAACTAGTCACGCTGAGGAGTATGCAAAATACAAGGGAGATGAGAGAGCCAACCGGGTTGCCAATCTTAAAACATGTCCACTGAGGCAACAAGATTTCTTCAAGAAAGCAATCAAAGAGAATAATACAGCAGTCGAAGCTAGCTACGTGGTTAGTGAGATGATTGCTAAAGCAGGAAAGTCATTCACAGAAGGTGAATTTGTCAAAAAGTGCATATTACAGGCTGCAAGTATACTCTGTCCAGAAAAGAAAGGTCAGTTTAGCAACATCAGCCTTTCTGCCAACACCGTGGCAGAGCGCATT